ATGCATTTGTACAGGTCAATATCAGAAGCTTTGGGCTGAAAGCTGATTGGCTGAAAGCGGTCCTCACTTTTTATTAAATGCTCTGTCTAAAATCTATGATAAAACCAACCCATTTTAATACAGATACATTTGTTTTGGTTCTAAAGTGAAGTCCTGCAGTTTTAAAAGAAATATATTACTATTAGAATCTATATTATGTCTCCTTTAAAACCACTGCAAATAAAAAATAAAAAATGATTACTATAAATGTTACAGTTTTGTTGAGTGTGTGGAACTGATCGGCCGTAAATGTTTTCATGTACTAAATTCTTAATCACTGTATTTAATGAATTACTTTAAAAAACGGAGTGGACATCTCCACACGGATTGACAGGAGAGAGAGAGAGAGAGAGAGAGACAAGAGGGAGAGAGAGACCGGAGCAAGGGACTAAAGAACCAGACAGAGACCACAGAGAGACAAGAGAGAGAGACCAGAGAGAGACAAAAGAGAGACAAAAGAGAGAGACCATGAGAGACAAGAGAGGGACCATGAGAGAGACAAGAGAGAGGGACCATGAGAGAGACCAGAGAGAGACAAGAGAGAGAGACCAGAGAGAGACAAGAAAGAGAGACCAGAGAGAGACAAGAGAGAGAGACCAGAGAGAGACAAGAAAGAGGGACCATGGGAGACAAGAGAGAGAGACCAATGAGAGACAAGAGAGAGAGAGACCATGAGAGAGACAAGAGAGAGAGAGACCATGAGAGAGACAAGAGAGAGAGACCATGAGAGAGACAAGAGAGAGAGACCAGAGAGAGACAAGAGAGACCATGAGAGAGACAAGAGAGAGAGACCATGAGAGAGACAAGAGAGAGAGACCAGAGAGAGACAAGAGAGAGAGACCATGAGAGAGACAAGAGAGAGAGCCCAGAGAGAGACAAGAGAGAGAGACCATGAGAGAGACAAGAGAGAGAGACCAGAGAGAGACAAGAGAGAGAGACCAGAGAGAGACAAGAGAGAGAGACCATGAGAGAGACAAGAGAGAGAGCCCAGAGAGAGACAAGAGAGAGAGACCATGAGAGAGACAAGAGAGAGAGACCAGAGAGAGACAAGAGAGAGAGACCAGATAGAGACAAGAGAGAGAGACCAGAGAGAGACAAGAAAGAGGGACCATGGGAGACAAGAGAGAGGGACCATGAGAGACAAGAGAGAGAACACAAGAGACCAAAGAGAGAGACCATGAGAGACAAGAGAGAGAGACCAGAGAGAGACCAGAGAGAGACAAGAGAGAGAGACCAGAGAGAGACAAGAAAGAGGGACCATGGGAGACAAGAAAGAGACAAGAGAGAGGGACCATGAGAGACAAGAGAGAGAACACAAGAGACCAAAGAGAGAGACCAGAGAGAGACCAGAGAGAGACAAGAGAGAGAGACCATGAGAGACAAGAGAGAGGGACCAGAGAGACAAGAGAGAGAGACCAGAGAGAGACAAGAGAGACCATGAGAGAGACAAGAGAGAGAGAGACCAGAGAGAGAGACCAGAGAGAGACCAGAGAGAGAGACCAGAGAGAGACAAGAGAGAGAGACCAGAGAGAGACAAGAGAGAGAGACCAGAGAGAGACAAGAGAGAGACAAGAAAGAGGGACCATGGGAGACAAGAGAGAGAGACCAATGAGAGACAAGAGGGAGGGACCATGAGAGACAAGAGAGAGAACACAAGAGACCAAAGAGAGAGACCAGAGAGAGACCAGAGAGAGACAAGAGAGAGAGACCAGAGAGAGACAAGAGAGAGGGACCAGAGAGAGACAAGAGAGAGGGACCAGAGAGAGACCAGAGAGAGACAAGAGAGAGGGACCATGTGAGAGACAAGAGAGAGAACACAAGAGACCAAAAAGAGAGACCAGAGAGAGACCATGAGAGACAAGAGGGAGAGACCAGAGAGAGACAAGAGAGAGGGACCAGAGAGAGAGACCAGAGAGAGACAAGAGAGGGACCATGAGAGACAAGAGAGAGGGACCATGAGAGAGACAAGAGAGAGAACACAAGAGACCAAAGAGAGAGACCAGAGAGAGGTCGGGGGGCAGTAGTGCACTGAAAATGAATATTTTTAGGCCAATGATTTATTTGTAATTTTTTATGTTTATTATATGATTCGGGTGTTTCCATAGTAGCATCATTGCATCTACATCCTGTCTCCTTCACAACCTATACAACCTCGGCAAATAAATAACACCAGTTAAATGTTACAGTTTTGTTGAGTGAGTGGAACTAATCGGCCGTAAAATCCAGAGTAAATGTTTGCATATACTCAATAGTTAATCACTGTATTTAATGAATTACTTAAAAAAACCAAGTGGACATCTCAACATCAAAATCCCGCTTCTTTCTCAAACCGCTGCTTTCCTCTTTACACGGTTCCCCACACGGATTAGCCGTGCACCACGGGGGAAAAAAAGAGAATATTTTTCGGTACATAGACTGACACTGTGGAAAACGCCTTCATTTGTCCTCATTAAAAGCTTAAAAGTCCATGAATAAGTGATCAACGGAAAGAGGGGCTACTTCGGGGCTGTCTGCGAGTGGACCAAACAAACAGGAGACGGCGCGCACGGTTTAGCGCTTTAGCTGCTGTTTAGACCTCTCCGCATCCACCCGCCTTCTCTCTCTCACTTTCTCACTTTCTCTACACTTTTTCCCGGGGAGAAATTGGGCCTGGGAGAGCCAACTTTAATGCAATTACGCACACGGATGATGAGCCTTTCTGTGCTGAATCCGTAAGCGCGAGATCTTCCCCCAACTTAAAAAGGCGCGCTGAAGATGAGAAAGCGAGCGCCAGGCCCGTCCCAGCGGTTTAATTATTTTCATTATCTTTCCTCTTTCCGCGCGCCTAAAAAAAGAGGCCATTAAAAGGATGCCCGATTGGGTTAATCTGATTAAAAAAACAAGATGGTGGGAGAAGATGAAAGCCGGCACATGTCAGCGCTAATCAGGGGAGCTAAAACTGCTATTTGTGAACTGGGGCGCTTGTTCAAGAGAAAGTGTGTGTGTGTTTGTGTGTACGTGTGTGTGTGTGTCTTCATAATACATTTTTCCCTCACTTCAAAAAGCGCGTTGATAAAATAAACAGTAAAATAAAAATTTAAATAACCTCGCGCCATGTTTGATTGTGCGCCGGAGTTGGCAGAGGGTCAGCCGAGCCGAGCTGAGCCGAGCTGCCCGGAAATGATAAAAGTTTTAAGTTTAATCCCCCGTGAAGTGGTTTCGATTTTCTTCAAGAGCGGTAAGGCCTTGACGAGCGCATCAAAGCGCAAAGCGGCAATTAGCGGGAGCAGCAGCGGCGGCCGCGGGGTGATTAGCGACGTTAGCGACACCTACGCTAACGCTGCCCTGCGATTACAGAGCGTCCTTTTCTCACAGTGTGCAGCCGGGGTTCTTTGCACAACTCGGTCGAAGAGAAAAGATGTAGAAGTGAAGACGCTCGGATGGAAGCCCGGTGCTGTGCAAACTGTGCGATACAAATAAACTAGCCATGAGCTGCATGAATCTGAAATGCTGTCTCCCCGTGTTTAGTGTTGACGCAGGGCACCAGCAGGAGGCCAGTCCCTGTGCTCCTCAGAGTCCCAGAAGAAGGCCAGTCCCTGTGCTGCCCAGAGTCCCAGAAGGAGGCTAGTCCCTGTGCTCCTCAGAGTCCGAGAAGAAGGCCAGTCCCTGTGCTCCTCAGAGTCCCAGAAGAAGGCCAGTCCCTGTGCTCCTCAGAGTCCCAGAAGGAGACCAGTCCCTGTGCTCCTCAGAGTCCCAGAAGAAGGCCAGTCCCTGTGCTCCTCAGAGTCCCAGAAGGAGACCAGTCCCTGTGCTCCTCAGATTCCCAGAAGAAGGCCAGTCCCTGTGCTGCCCAGAGTCCCAGAAGGAGGCTAGTCCCTGTGCTCCTCAGAGTCCGAGAAGAAGGCCAGTCCCTGTGCTCCTCAGAGTCCCAGAAGAAGGCCACTCCCTGTGCTCCTCAGAGTCCCAGAAGGAGACCAGTCCCTGTGCTCCCCAGAGTCCCAGAAGGAGGCCGCTCCCTGTGCTCCTCAGAGTCCGAGTTGGTTCACATTGACTGCTGATTGCTCTCATCTTCCTCACCATAAAACAGTCTTCTCTCAGTCTAATCTACTCTCTCTACTCTCTCCAGCTGTTCTGTCTGAGTGTACTGGTCACTAAACAGCATCATGAAGTCCAAAGAGCCGCCCAGAGAGCTCAGGGCGGTGGTTGTGGAGAGGTTTAAAGCAGCGTTATGCAAAGCTTTCCCAAGCTCACAGAGCGCTGTTCAACCCAATGTTTGGAAATTGAAAGAATACCTATATATGGCACAAACTTACCGATGCACCGCCACCCGCCTAAACTAACAAGCCGAACGAGCAGGGGAAGAGCTTTTTTAGGGCGGAAATGGTTGTAATAGTACGGAAAAGCTCCAAAGCTGACATGTGTCCTTTGATGTCAGCTCCAATGAGAGAAGGCAAGTTTATTTGTACAGCACAATTCACACACAGGGCGACTCAAGTTCTTCTTTTTCTTCGGAGCGTGTCAGGATGAGGGACACTCGAACATACTCAGGGAATTTCTAAGAAGATTAATTAAAGCTGGTGTCACACAGTTAGTTTGTCTTGTAAAATGAAAATGCTGTGACCATTTCAGATCAAAAGTAGAAAATTTGATCCGAAATACCTGAGTCTAAACACTATAGAAGCAGCAATTTATGGCAATTTATTATTATTTCTTGATGAATTTCTGTTGTCACATTTTCTAATTTACCGTTTTGCAAACTTTGTGAACTCCCTCGAGACGACCGCTGTTATTATTTAAAAATTAACACACACACACACAAATAACTTAGAATTGATTTTGAGAAGCTATTTCTTCCCACGTCACATCTCTCAGTGAAATGCTAAAAACTCTCTCTCTTTTCTCTCTCTTTCTCTCTCTTCTCTCTCTCTTTCTCTTTCCAAAACTGGAGATGACGCTTACAGGATCGGGCACATGCAGCACAGATGTTACCGACACAAACAAAGACGCGCGCTCAAACCAAATCATCCGGAGCGACCGTCCGGCGCGCGCTCAGCGAGACGGACGCGGCGCATGCAATATTAAACCGCCGCGTCTGCCCGTGCCAAGACGCCCGCCCCCAGGCTCCGCGGCCATCGGAGCTCTCCCTCAAGGTGACACTTCAAAGGGGCTCCTCTGTCGGCATGGATCCAGCCTCCGCTACACCCCCTCCCTGCACCTCCACCTCCACCTCCTGCTCCATCCTCAGCGTTTTATACTGCCACCTCTAGAAAGAAGTCACCAACCACCGCGCACAGTAAAAAAACTTCATATTTACCGGTGAAGTTACTAGAAAGAAAATGAAATGATTTATGTCGTATTATCTGTGCAATAATTATGTCCAATTATGCTAAAATTGACCACAAGTACTGTCACTTCATTTAGTCACATTTAGCCCAACACATAGTCTGTAAATATTAACGGACGTAGTCAGGCCTATCTCTGCCGTTCAAACTAATGTGCCACCACTTTCGCCTTCTATGGGGCTTTTCAAAATGACATTAATTTTGAGTGCCTTCAAAATTCCACCGTGACTAAACTAGGCTGGTACAAAAAAATACACTCCCCTCAGCATTGACACACATCTAGAACGTAGCTTTGGGCCAAGAGCCGACTTTTGGACCGTCCTGTAAAGCCGTTTTCGAGAGGTAAGAAGATGCTATACATTTGCATTGGCTAATTCTTTTTCCGGCCTTGAATAGAGACTGTGTCTGCTTCCGTGACGTGGGAGCTGATTCCACTGTGTTGGAGCTTGGTGACTAAACGCTCTACCTCTGACGGTGCTTTCTGACAGATCGGTTGAACAATTCGGCAGCAGGCGTCATTCAACCGTCATTCGGAGAGAAGAAAAATCTCAAATAGTTAGAATTGGACATCATAGAATTTGAGATCCACAAATCATCCTATATGCATTTTTTTAACTTGACTCAACAAAAGTAAATTCCAGTAACTTGGTAGATACTTTTTTTGAGTGCATTGGAAAAGTCTCTGTTACAACATCCGTCCCATGATGCCATTGCATATAACCAGGAAGTAAAAAATCTAGTCCACACATGCATAAAAATAGAAAATATATAAGGCTGCTACTGCATGGTGAGAGGCCCCTTCAACTTCCTGACAGCCTTTTTGAACGTGGTCGGTCCCACCCATGTCCAGGAGCTGCCATCCCAGACAGCTCTCCCATTGGCTGGAACCTGGAAGGAGGAGGGTGCCAGCAGCAGCAGCAGCAGCAGCAGCAGCAGCACAAACTACACAAGACAGGGGTCGTCACACAATGATAAAGTCCAGAGTAAAACACGGAAACCAGGAACATGGACCAACAACAAGGGGAGAGGAGCACAGGTACAAATAGACACAGACAGACACAGGTACATATAGACACAGAGAGACACAGGTACATATAGACACAGAGAGACACAGGTACATATAGACACAGAGAGACACAGGTACATATAGACACAGAGGAACACAGGTACATATAGACACAGAGGAACACAGGTACATATAGACACAGAGAGACACAGGTACATATAGACACAGAGAAACACAGGTACATATAGACACAGAGGAACACAGGTACATATAGACACAGAGAAACACAGGTACATATAGAAACAGAGAGACACAGGTACATATAGACACAGAGAGACACAGGTACATATAGACACAGAGAGACAGAGGTACATATAGACACAGAGAAACACAGGTACATATAGACACAGAGAGACACAGGTACATATAGACACAGAGGAACACAGGTACATATAGACACAGAGAAACACAGGTACATATAGACACAGAGAGACACAGGTACATATACGGTGGCACGGTGGCACTCTCGCCTCTCAGCAAGAAGGTCCTGAGTTCGAATCCTGGTCGGACCAGGGCCTTTCTGAGTGGAGTTTGCATGTTCTCCCCGTGTCTGCGTAGGTTTCCTCCGGGTGCTCCGGTTTCCCCTACCACTAAAAATATGTACAATAGGTCTGGCATGCGCCTCCTGTTCGGCGACCCTGCTCCCATCTCTGTTTGGAGTGAGAGACAAGTGCCCAAAAATAATAACAATTGTAAACCGCTTTGTGACTCTGGTCTGTGAAAGGCGGTATATAAATAAAGATTACTTACTTACTACTATAGACACAGAGAGACACAGGTACATATAGACTCAGAGACACAGGTGAACAGGAAGTCAAACAAAATTGGTCAAAATAAAACCAGGTAAAAAAACATAAAATCCACACCATGACACTTTGGCTCTATGTGTTTTTTATCATTTCATTTCTTGTGTTGGAACCGTTTGATTCTCTGATCTGTGTTGGCGAATTCAACCGTTTTGTTAAGTCCTCCGAGATATAACTACTGTTGGGATTTAGGACTTAATTTAAGATTGACTTAAATTGAATCGACTGCTTCTGGTGAATATTATCCAACCCCTACTTACTTTTACACCAGTGCGACCCTCATCCTTTGCCGTGTACACGCTCTCCTCCGTCCAGACCCCAACCTCCTCCTTCCTTACCCTCGCACCCCCCCCCCTCCCCCTCCCCCCCGCTGGGCCGGGTCAGCGCCAAGAAGCAAAGTCTTGGAGCTGCTGTCAGGAGCGCGCCCGGCCCACCAGCTTAATTAATAACGCGCCGCTCCTATAATTCCGAGTCTCCCCGATCGCAGAGGCCTCGACAGAAGGTAGACCGGGTTTTTGGGGTTTGGGAGCCGTCCAAGATCATTTGAATTTTTGGGGACTCACATGCATTATTCCACTCACTTTTCCCCCCTTCTTGCAACAACATAACCCATATTCCGTCGGCTTCCTGCCAGTCTGCAGCTCCGGCGGTTTTGAGAATTTCGGCTGTTTTATTTTGCATTCGGACTTTTGTAAAAAAAAAAAATGTGTGGAAAGATGTGGAATATTTGCATTTCTTCTGATTCCGCACAACTTTCTCTCGCAGACAGTGACTTGGCGGGAGGCCTGAAGCGATCTGCGTTTCTGGCGAGGGTTTTGGTACTTTGGTAAAAACTCACGCTGTCAAAGAAAGCAAGCGATAGATGCATGTTTTATAACTTGTAAAAAGAGGAGTTTTGTTTTTGTTTTGTTTCTTTCCAAAGGAGGGTGTAAGGATCGGGGATGGGGCGGGTATGGGGTGTGTTAATAAAAATAAATGAATTAATTTTACATAAATATTTTGCTTTAAAACTACATACAACTCTTTTCCAATACATCATTTTGTATTACTTTGATGTTATTTGTAACATCAATCCTCCATAGTCTTTACTCAATGAAATATAAGCTTTGAATTTAGTTTGTCCCAACAGAAAGAGTCTTGATGTGGTTTCTTATGTTCAGAAAGTATGTTATAGTTTGTACTGTTAAAAATGTTTTACTATTCAGTCTAATACCAGTCACTATTTGACCCCTTTGGGCTGAGAGCTAAAATTGAAAGATTGAATAAAATGAAATATAGAAACAAAATCTAGAGAAAATGACACCTAAGTAACAAAACAGGGCTTGAGGACTAGAACTAGCCTGGTCGTACCACACCATAGTACAGATTACATTTCGTACTAAGGTCTGGAGGTGCTTCGTTGAGCTCCGTTAACAGGTGGGAGGGGTTAACTCCTTTTGCAGATTGAAACAATTGGATCTGAGTTTACAGTGACGTATGTAATGGCCAGAGTCTGTCGTTAGCATTTAGCATTTAGCCTAGCCATCTCCTTTGCCGCTAACGGAGCCCGTGGGGAGTAGCGCCACAATTTTTTCTAGCGATTCCATTTGCTAAACATTACTCTTGCTCCGGCTTCAATTTCTTGATAGAACCAGACCGGAATACGTGTCTATTAAAGGACTTTTATCAGAGTGCCTCGGATTTCACCCTGTCTTCATTTTTCCATGGAAAAGGGTATCTTTGTTTTTCAAGATTACTTTACTATCGCATTTTTTGCCATTGCCAAACTACAACCTGCCCGTTCGATGCAAACTCTTGACGTCACCCACAACTAACTGCAAGACCCGCCTCCTGCGCTCGCTGATTGGTCGGATGGAATTCAACTGATTGTAATTGCTAACACAGGGACTAGACCCAGACGTTACATGCAGGAAATGATAATTGAGCGGAGTGTACGGCTGGATAAGGTCAGGCCAGACTAGAACGAAAAGGGCGAAGGGTTTGAACATATAACGACTAACGAGACACGGGTGAGTCGGGGGCGGGGCAGGGAAACAGGAAACAGGAAGTAACACTAAAGAAGACACGGGGGTTAACAAATTACAAAATAAAACAGGAAATAAACCTCAACCATGACAGAGAACTATGATAGAACCCTGACTGTTTTGAGAGAGAGAATCTATGGGTAATGCAAGTTTATCTATACAGCACAGTTCATACACAATGAAACTCAATGTGTTTATGGCATTAGATTCATAAATAATCACAGCACAGTAGAAAAACTGAAGTAAAATCCCTCAGTCGTATGCACTGCCAAACAAAACTTTTTTTTTACTCGTATATGAACATTTTCAGAGAAGAAGCCTGTCTCACATTTTCAGGAAGACTGGATTTCAGCTGCATAAATCCAAATAATCTAAATATTTCATCTAATACATTTTAAGAACTCCTTCGAGGCGACTGCTGCTGTTGTGATTTGGGCCTGAACCAAAAACGAAACAGAATAGATTTGGAGAGGCCGTTTTTAAAAACACGACACATCGCAGAGCACTTCTAAAAGTCTCAAACGTGAGCAAATGGATGATGAACTTGTGCGTTTCTTCAGATTCCATTCGACTTCTCTCTCGCAGACAGTGACTTGGCGGGAGGCCCGGTGCGTTCTATGTTTTGGCGAGGCTTTTGGTAATTAAAGTCAATGCACCCGAACTCACGCTGTCAGACCGCACAACACAACATCCTGTTTGTTTGTGTGAGCGCTGCACTGACACAGAACGTACACGGATAAATACTTTGAGCTCTGATTGCCTTCGTTCTGGTGTTAGCTTCTGCTGCTGCCTCTCTCACAATGATCCAACACGGTGCATTATTTATTAAAGTCTGTTTTTTTGTTTCCTGGATTGTGACATAAACTGCACTTATCGCAAGTTTATGTTTGATTATTCGCAATTTCACAGTGTTCATGTGCGACACTGTGAAAATGGAACCCAGAAACACAAGCTTATACATTAGGGGTCCATCACACCACCACCGCCACCACAAACAATCACCAGCCATATTCAGTGGGGAAAAGATAC